ATATATACCTGTATAAGTAAATTGTAATTTACATATTATTCATATTATGCTAGAGCGCCCACAAAACATAAGAAACGTTTGAGTCCCCCAGTAGAGATGTCCGTTCTCTATCCACTCCAGGATGTCCGTTTTCTTTTTGTGTACTCGCTCAGGGACTCAAGTATTTCTGTATATGACACAGGATGATAAGGGAATTTGAATTTATTTGTTTATTTATTTATATATAATATACTGTAATATATTAAATATACTGCAAGTATTTTCTTTAATTTATATACGTGTTTCGCGACAAAGGGAGGCTACATTTATGGTGATCGTTAAGGACCAAACTCCGAATCCATGACGTGACTTCTGTTCATTATTTATATCCTAAATTTACCACTGTAGGTAGTTTCAAGAATTAATGCAGTCATTTACTGAATATTCTTTGCAAAAAAATAAATTTTAAATGAATTATTTATAAGAGATAAATATTATGATCAGTAAATATACAGATATGCATTACTGACCACCTCCGAACACAAGGACGGCTAAAAATAGCCACAGGCGGTCACAGTCAAGGTCACTTTCCCTTTCTTGTCACTGGCAAATGGGGGTGGGGGGGGATGATAATAGCAGCTGTGTTTATTACGGTATGTTAGACTGGTTTATAATACATTTTTATTATTTTAATATACCGGTAATCTTCATTTTAATCCAGCTTCCCAAACGTAAGTTTCAGTATAAAATAATTAGTGGTACTGTAGGACCTTGTGAGTGGTTTACTGTATACATAAATATTACATAAATTATTTCTGCAATTCTTCACAAACAAAACACATAAATCAATTGAATATGTGATGTCGAACGTAAACTGTAAACACTGTGTATGATGTAAAGAGAGCGCGGGTGTAAAACGCTATGTAATTTGATTTTCTCTTTTATGTAAAATTTTACAATTTACTTATAATATATAGGTATACTGTATACATAAATATTACATACATTATTTCTGCAATTGTTCACAAACAAAACACATAACTCAATTGAACATGTGATGTCGAACGTGAACTGAAGTCACAACAACCGTTCGAGTGGAATCGCGTTAGAGCAAACGAGTTCGCGTTATACAAATATTGTTCCGAATTCATAAATCGCGTTCGATCAAATTCGCGTTATCAAAACACGCGTTATAGCAGAACTCACTGTACTGTATTTCATTGTAGATTTTCTATTAATTTTTTTTTTTTTTTTTTAATCTATGTCGGACTTACGACCATTCGGACTTACGACCTGGATTTGGGTCCCTAACCCCGTCGTAAGTCGGGGTCTAGCTGTATTATATATTCTCATATGATCAGTCAATTATGGTGTATGTTTTATCATTGATAATATAAAATATTAAATATTAGAAAAATTACAAAATATTGCGCCATACTCCCGAGTCTTCTGCGGTGGAGGTTTAGGGAGGGAGGGAGGGAACTGATCGCACACCCCCAAAAAGGTTTATGCCCCTTCCCTACTCCTCCCCATGCCTGACATTCCCATTGTAAAATATTTTATTTTGTTTTTTATTTATTAATTAATATAGATATGTTTACTGTAATAATTTGTGCTTATTAATCTCGGTACCCTTCATATACAATACAGTGATATCTTCATTAGCCAGAACAATTGGTGCAGAGCACTTCCGGGGATGAGAGATTTCCAGGTAACCAGACAACTTTCTCAAACCCGGAAAAATCCCCCATCCTCGGAAATATTTAGGGTTACAGTGAGTTCTGCTATAACGCGTGTTTTGATAATGCGAATTTGCTCTAACGCGATTTATGAATTCGGAACAATATTTGTATAACGCGAACGCCTGTTTGCTATAACGCGATTTTTGCTTACTATTTCTCCAATTTTGTGGTATTAACTGTGATTATGGTAAAGAAGAATATCTCCAAAAAGCGTTCTGATGATAGAATTCCCGGTGATTATCGTAAAAGAAAGGATATAACACTTGAAGAGAAGCTCGATGTTATCAACCTCAAAATCACCCTTCTCCCCCGTCAAGTTACATTCATATTTTTTCAAGGTAAACTGTTACATTTACTGTATGATTTCATTATTAGATATGAATGTAACATTTATTTAGACTGTGCTATCCTTTGTGTTAGGCTAACTACTAAATTTTTTCGATTTCGAGTAATCTGCACCTAACCCTATTTTCTATAACACGATATTTTACAAGAACACAATTATCGCGTTGTAGCAGAACTACCTGTACATGTACAGTACAGCTTTGCCCTTAGGACAGTGTAGCGTATCCAGAGAAACATTAGGGGCAAATTTTAAAATATGTTGCGGCAGATTGACTCGCGCAAAATAGGAAAGATTCACTTTATGTTAAAACATTGTCCTTGATTGTGGGTGTCGCTTTAAATCAATAATTTTAAATTGAATCGCTTTAAATCAACATTCTACTGTATGGCTATTGGAGAATCCCAGTTAAGAGGGATTTTGGCTAATGGATATACAGTGAACCCTCGAAGATCCGGACTATAATGGGGACCGGACCACCTGTCCGGAAAAGCAGATCTTCCGGCAAATGTACTAAATGTATAAAAAAAAAAAATAATGATATAAAAAACACCAAAAATACAGTACATATTATCCTGTACACACTTTGTACTCAAATGTACTACACTAAAGGACTAAAAATTTTATCTTTTTTTGCAAACCATGTAATCTTTATTCTCAAATTATTTGCCATCTTGCAAGGATTCCTGCAATGCAAGTTATATTCTGCTAAGTTTAGTCTGTGAAATTTTATAAGATAAAAACTTTAAGCCTAAAACTACCTTCACCCCTGGGAAAGGGGAGGTGAGGTGGTGACAGCCAGGCAGGGAGGAGAAGGGGGGAGGGTGTGGTGAGGTACTGACCAGCCGGCAGGGAAGGTTACCTAGTGGTATTTATTTATCAGTCATATAGATAGAGTTTAAGTTTTTCACTTATAAAATGTCACTGAGTTGACTTGGGAGAATACTGTATAACTTACCGCATTTGCCGGTGTATAAGACGCGTTAAAAAAAATGCATCACAAATTACCCTGCGTCTAATGAGCCCGTATTACGGATGGAAGGCCGAGCGCCGTAGGCAGAGGTGCCTAACTATGGAGTTTGGGACGAGCAGTAGTCCACCAAGCACAATTTTTTTTATTAGTTAACAATATTACCACTAATAAAATACTGAAAACAAGCCAAATTATCACAATCTATTATCACAAACTTATTGCAAATTTGCAGAAGACGTAAATAATGGCTCACATTGGCTTAACGGCAGAGGGAAGCTCACAACATCTCACTGTACCTCCTTCCCCAGCATACGTAACCCACACCAGATACATGTCTTACATTATTTAACGACTGTGTTACCTTTAAGAAACATTTGTTTGTTATCTAAATGAAAAATTCCCCTAGAAAGATTAAAAAAATTTTAACAGAAAGTTCATTCGCCAGTCAGCCATTTGCAATGAGTCGGTGATGCCAAAACAATAGCGATGGTGCTACGCCCTGGTGGCAGATCGCGGTAACACAAAACATCACAGCCAAAAATACGAGTTTCACATCCTGTCAGTAATTCTCTTGACTAAAATATAAACAAGCCACACAGCTGCTCTGATCAGAGGTCGAGTTGGGTTAGTGACCGTTAGTATAATGTTACTATATATGATTTCCTACCTGATTCCAGTATATATTGTATTTACATGCACAAAATCATATGTTTTCCCCTACAAAACCACTTTAAAATCACTGTCAATGAATGTATGATGAAACGTACAAAAAAATTTCCATACAAAATATCCTTGTAAAGTAGGGGTGCGTCTTATGCATCAGAAAATATGGTACATTGCTGGAATTCTTGTAAGGTAGTGATATATTTGAATTAAACATGCAATAGTTTGCAATAGACATAAAAATTTTAGTAATTATTTAGTACATTTCAGTACAGTACAAGTTTGCCCTTAGGACAATTATTTCTTTTACTTTTTCACAATATGTATTTAGGATGTTGTATGCATGTAATGAGTAAAAATAAATGAAGAAAGTTATGTATATCTACCCAAAAATATGAGTTGAAAAACTTATACTAAAGTGTACTACAGTACACTAAAGGACTAAAATTTTTACCTCTTGTGCAAAATATATGATGTTTATACTCAAATTATTCAGTACCTTGCAAGGATTCCAGCAATGTAAGTTATATTCTGCTAATTTTATCTGTAACATTTTATAAGATAAAAACTTTAAGCCTAAAACTACCTTCACCCTGAAATCTGGATTTAACGGGTCCGGATCTTCGTGGGTTTACTGTATTAATGTACTTTGATTGCTTGATCTCCTTCACCACTGTATGAATGTGTTTGCCCAGACAACCGGTGTGACTTGTTTATCCACTTTCCACCCTGTGAATGTGATCTTTCATTACTAGCACAAATTCTTCCATGAGCTCAACCTCTTTTAAGAAGTTCCCGTTTGATGGCATGTGCAGTGTTTCTGTGTATCTCCTCAGTGTCATACTGCCAGAGACTGTACTATGGCAAGCAGCCGCACCAGAACATCTCTCCACCACTTCCTCTCAGCATCGAGAAATGCCATCTATTTTTTGTCAATGATTTCCCCGTTCATAATCTGCACCTCCAATTCTTTCCATGTTCTCAAATGTTTTAGGTGTTCTGGGGTGTTTTCGTGAAAATTGAGCAAGTTGGTTGCATTCTTCCAGTCGTTAAGTCCTTCCTTTATTATGGAAAAATCTTTTATTGATAACAGCTTACATCAGCAGCAGCAGCAGAAGAGGCTCCTGTTTTTACAGGAAT